GGCCGGTTCTCTCTCAGTACGAGTGCCTTTTACAAGAGTTTTCAGGTGTATGTGTTTAGTCATCGGGACATTATATATGTATCCGCGAGCCCGAGTTACGCGACTTTCACTCTGAAATGTCAACTGCTGTTTCACTTTTCAGCTCTCCCACCGTGCGAGCATCGATCAATCTGATTACGCACAACAAAGGGACGACTGTTGTAAAACGATTTACGATTTCTCTCTGTCTGTATCTGTTTCAGGTGGCAAATACGCGATGGCCGCGTGCGTATGACGACCGCGATCACGGAACGGACTCGTAACGGGAGGAAAGCGGAGGGATTATAAAACGCGAAAGGAGAAACTCGCGGACCCGGCTTGCGTCTTGTACACGATTTATATTGATACTTTTATCTTGTAATATTATCCAAAAAAATTAGCGGAATATTTGTACTGTGGATATGAATAATGAGAAAATATTGTATGCACGTTGTGACATTTGATTTAAAAAAAAAATAGCCAGTGTAAAGGATGAATGAATGTACGTGAATGAGATAAAGAAATGTGAACAAAGTCCCGCTTCTCTTGTGTGGTTTGTAATGCTGAGAAGGTAATAAAGATTCTATTATATTCTATTTATATTATGAAAATATTTTACAAATTATAATATTTACATTTTATTATAATACTAATATTCGTTTTACTATACAATATTTCTATTATTCCAAAATCATCAGAAAATTAATGTTTGGAACATTTTATAGGAACGTGAAGGAATTTAGCACAATACTTTAAGTCTGAAAATATAACAATCAACCTTACTTTGGCTGTCTTATCAAAAGGTCAAGTCATCGCGATCGAAGGAGATCTCGCCGTTGCGTTCAAGAGGATCTTGGCGCGGACATTCTCTTTGGTTATCTAGCTGTATGAGTTTTATCCGACATCATAAAGCTAGGTTACCGGAGTTAAGCTCCTCGCCATATCAACTCCAGCGATCTTCCCCTTATGCGTTTCTCTACGCTTCAGCGAAAATAAAGCACCGAGACCCCGAATATTGTTACACCCGACGTGTCCTGGGACATCGTCGCGGACGCATCGACTTATCGGAGTAACAAAGACGCGGCCGGGCGGGAAAAAAAGGAAGATTCGAGTTTGCGATAAACGTTAACATCTTCAGCAGTAGTTGTGATTCGATGGTAATTTTGTACATTGAGATAATCATATTTGAGCGCCGATTTTTTCGCATCGAATAAAGCAGTGTGCGTCCTCGAAATCATTCCTCTCCCACGTTCTCGAATAGGAAGGACCTCCGGTATTGTCGACCACGGAATTTACAGCCGTTGGGCCCTCTACAATGGGCCGAGTGTTCTGGTATGAAGACCCGGGCAAACACTCGGGATCCATAAAGAGGTAAGCGACACTCGGCGGGTCCCGCAATCGCGACGCGCGAATGCGAATGTCGTCTAGCTGTTGTACGACTCTCTTTCTCTCTCTCTCTCTCCCTCTCTCTCTCTTTCTCTCTGTATTCCCCTCTCGTATTCTCGCAAAACTACGAGCTGGGCATTTGTAATTGCTGTTAGTGCCAGTTGCTCGTGACCGGCCTGTCGAGAGGAGGAAGGAAGGAGAAGAATTTTTCAGAGGCGCACGTTATTTCGCACCTACATCACGCGGTCATCACGTGGCTGCAGACAATTTCTGCAGTCACGATAATCGCTTTAGAGAAAGTCACGATATCGCGTTGGAACCGTAACAAATAGGATGGGATGTTTCAATTTAAAATTTTTGGACATTCGAGGAAAATCCGGGAGTACCGTCGATACTATATGGTTATAGAAGAAAACCGATTTTAAATTCGTCGAACGATCCGCGATTAAAATTCAACATTGAATGGAGTGGTTTGTAATACAAAAACTGTATTTTCGACTGAAATTTCAATTTTGCTGTAAGAGTCGAATTTTATTTTCGAAACAATTTAATTTCTCATTAGCCTCAAAATCGTATTTTTATCAACTATTATAATTAAGTATTCATAACCGCGAATTGTTACGCAATTGTTATTAATGATGTAATTGCTTATTATTGCGATGTGAATGCGATTTCTGTGACGGTTTTCTGTGATAGACAGCTGATTTTATTTCAACACCGATCAACTTTTTGCAGAAGTGCAAAGATTCATGTATGGCATTAACGCAACGTAGTTCTCGTCAGCGAGAAAGGAACGAGTTGTTTCATTAAACACACGCTGTGCCTATGAAACGTTACATTTTAAGTGTGTGCCGACACGGTGCGTGACGACGATGGTTCCCACAATAAAGAAGCCAGGATATGTTTACCAATTATACATATGTATATGCGACCACAGGAACGAACACGTCCGGCGTGATATTGCAGGAAAAACTACTGGCTTTTGTTTAAATTGTACATAGAAATTGAAATGATATCGTAAAAACTGAGGTAGAAATCTTTTGATTCTCTGCGAAATACAGAATATCCGAAAGCGCGACGAATGGCGGCCAAATTTTTCCTCTTATCACGTGGATTTTTATTACAAACACATGTAATAATTATATTGATAACATCGTGTAATAAAAATAGTCTTTTCACACACGATCAAAAATCAATATGTCCGTGAAAGTTATACAGAAGCTGCGTTCGGTAATAGCAAATCTGAGGCGTCGGAGTGCTCTTATATTATAGCATATGTCACGTGCACTATAGAAAAAAAGCACTCCGACGCCTCAGATTTGCATTGCCGAACGCAGCTAGAAACGAAATCTAGTATAGAAGTTTGTACCATGAGATTAAGGTATTTTGTGTGTAAAATATATACAATATGTATATTTTATGTATATTTGAAGATTATGAGAGGTCATTCCGTAGTCACTTTAGCTACGGTGCGATTGTCTAAAAATACTATATAATATGTATGAAATATATTAGTTATTAAATCCGGAAATGATAAAATTAAAATCATTAGCAGAGCAAAATTGTTTCATTTATTAAAACAAATTTTTAATAAAAAAAATGACTTAAATTTCACCCTTTTTCCATTTTCCTACGGTTTTTTTTGTGAATTAATGAAAAAGATGTGATAATTATTTTTTAACATATTCCGTGCCGCGTAAGTTATCAATGATTCATGTTAGACTTTCCTTTCAGACCATGAAATATTTTGGCTATAAAAACATAATCATAAAATACTTCTTAATATCATGTGAATATATAATTATGACATATGTAATATTAACACCATCAATCACCGGTAACTCACACAATTCTGCAATCCGTTTTGCAATATCAAACACTTATCTGTAATCTTTAATTTTATGCTTCATAAGAAAATTATAGAAAAATTGTTAACACGCTAAGCTATATTTGCACCTTTTTAATTTATTAGAGGATTCTTCATTTTCGTACGATCAAAAAAATTTTTTTTAAATCAAGTTTGATAAACGTACTATAAATCCAATAAATATTTATAAATAATAATTTTGCATCAAAGAATAATTATTTGTAATATGTAAAAAATATATAACTTTCTGCTTCTTTTATTTATATCTTTGGTTCAGAAACATAAATATGCTTTTATACCTGTTCAACATCCCTCATCTCGTCTTTTCTCTATAAAGGAAGCAATTCGCTACGTAAGGTATCAAAAGTTTCCCGGTCTATCAAAAATTTCAAACTTACCCTATTTACAATTGGCCTCCATCCCCTTCGGAGTAGTCCCCTTGTGATTTGATACAATAACTTCAACGCTTCAGTTATGCTTCACACGCTCTCTGGAAGTCTTTTCCAAGCATTGTTTGCGATTCGGTCTCGATCTCTTGTATTCCAAACGTTGCCCTTTGAGTTTCACTTTTATATGAGAACAAAAAGTTACTATAAAGGGGTAAAGCTGAGCTACGGAGGGTGCAAGACGGTGGCGAGAGTTTGGCTGCCAAAAACTGTATATTTCTAAGATCGCAGTTTTAGAACCCTGAGGACGAATTTGATAGCTGTCCGAATAATGTTGAAATCATAAAAATCAATCTGAATGGTAGACTCCACATGCGAAATTCCAACAATATCGTAGGTATCATGATAAAAATTCTCACGAAAAATTTGTACAAGTTACTCTGCGGGTTTGTCGTCTTCAACTGACTCTTTTTTCTAAATGTGAATGCCGTCCGAAGCTCGAGGTACTATGAATTTTTCCTTTTTTCCGAGTATCACGGAGTGATGTCAATTTTGACAATGGTGCAGGTCATGGAATCCGTTTCTCTGTGTGTTACAAAAAAAATTTTAGAAACCGTTTAAAGTGTAGCTGAAACATTAGCGTCGCCGCAAGTTATTCTTACTTTGAAAAAAAGAAGGAGAATCTAAGAGTTTTTATCATTAAAATTAAAATGTTTATTTTTAACGAAGACATTGTAAAATAAAGATCCTTTTACATAAATATAAAAAAAACTTTCTCCCCCAACCCAATATATATGTAATGCAAAATAATTATATAATACAATCTACAATTCATGATTATTACAATAATAATTCATACATACATATTTTGTCTTTCTCCTCCAAGTCTTACTTTTCACTGAATATTATTTTATTATCATAACGTTACTTTTATTAATATATTTATTTTATCACTACTATATAATATTATTATTAATGTAATAGTAGAAAAAACGAATCCAATATTGAAGAGAAATGAAAAAAAGAAAATTATACTTTCAAGTTTTTTAAACAATAATAAGATTAAATAAATTATAGATCTCATAAGAACAAAGTTATATTAATGGAATTCAGGAATATTCAAGTATCTCGAAATCTGAAGAAATTTCGACAATTAAAAATTCAGTCACGTAGCAAAATTACATTTAATTCTATTATATTCGCAGAAACGTCAAAGTGCTTGTAGTGCAAAATGCTCTTATCATCTCTCTTTGCGTTGCAAAGATAAACATTTCCCTGAAACAGAATCCTGAGGTTCACCAGAGAGGTGCAGTGCTGACTGCTGAGGCTGAGAGGTGTGCCGCTGTGGCTAAAACGCCATCTGTATATTACTGCGATGACATTGAGAGAACTAGAGGTAGAGGAGCCCTTTCGCAGTGGTCGAAATTAATCGTGGGATATCACGCGGCTGTTCCTTACAAAACAAAACTATGATGGCAAGCAAGGCTTGGAAGGTCAGTACTGCAGATCCTCGCTGGAACCGGGTCACTTCTACGTCATGACAACGCGTGGAAAGCGACTATCCTATTCCCGCGGTATGCGACTACCACAGGTACTGACGCCGTCTTTTCGCAGGTAGTCCAGCCGCATGTACCGATGATCAAGTTCCGCAAGGGTGGCATCAATCGCGCAGGTAACGTAGACCAAAATCAGCATAAACGATCGTCTCCTGCGCAGAAAATAATACCTCCGCTAACAAACCCGTGGTCCATGATCTGTGTTGTTGGTTAGCAGTTGCGGGCACGACGGCCGCGCCACCTACGCGGTCAGGGTCGGCGCAAATGCAGCAAAGTGCGGGTGGTGCGACGGGCCCCCGGGTGATCGTTATGCCGACGATAGAGGACATTCACTTACCACCGCGATATCAGAGACGGCCGATAGATCAGAAGGAAATAGAATATATCAATGTAAGTTTCGACGGTTATTTCAATTGGAAATTATATTACGAATCATGTATAGTTTAGTGCTAGTATGATCTATTATGATATAATGCAACATAATTGTAATATATAATCTGTAATTCATAATTATTATAATAATAGAACCCTTTTTATATGGCACTAATTTTGGAAGTTAACTTTATATAATTATACGATGTATATAAAAAAAATTTTGTATTCTATATTTAAATAAGTTTTAAGAAAGTTTAAAAATTTTATTTTACACTGAATCTTGTATACAGATAGGGTAAAAGAGACCCAATTACTTGGATAGTGTCCAAATTACTGACAACCTGATTTTAAATGCTTTTTTGAATATTTTATAAATAGACATTTTTTTATTTAAGTAAAATTAAATATAATTACTTATACAATTATTATAATATAATTTAAATTCTGGAAAAAAAAACATTTAAAATCAGTATTTAGGATATACTATCAATAATTGGGTCTTTTACCCTACTTGCTTGTTGCTTGTTTCAGCGTGGTGGACCAGAGTGAATTTGTAAAGCAAGCATTTAGGATAACTGTAATTAACTTTGTTATTGACCGACTCGGTATAATGTGTTGTTAAAATAAATGGACGTGACAGAGAGTTCTCGCGCGCTGCGAGTATAATTATTTCATATTTACACCAACCCATCGGACAAGGTCTCTTGTGACATTGCCAGGGCCTGCTATTTTTGGCACAACTTTCAGCTCATTCCAATAACAGCCGATGCTTGTTAATCCGGGATCTACTACAATGAGATTCTAATTAAATATGTTATTTTGCAACTTTCTATTTGCGTTTCTCATGGCTTAGCAAGAAAAGATTATTTCTCAATTTCCTTACGCGATTGTCTGGGATATAAATACTGTGGACCTAAAATAAATCACTATTCTCGATTGTCTTTGATTCATTTTTGCTAACGAGACAGGAGCGTGTAATGATGGTCCAAATCCGTGATATAAAAGATGGATTAAAAACGCTTTTTTTCATCTCTGGGTGCAATAAATTTTGAAAATAATATTATGTAACAAAAGGAATTTTTACAATAACTCCTTTCTTTTTTTTATATTCTACATCTAAATTAAAAAAATGTTTGTTATTAACAATTAGTATAATTTTTTTTAAATATAAAACTCGAGATTTATGTGTGAAGTATTATTCGTATAAAAGATGATATCAACAATTAACGCCAAAGATAATTTCCACAAAATTTTAATGTATCATTCGTATAATAAATATTTGATTTACACGACAACTGACGCAAAGCTCAATTCCACGAGATTTTATATCATTCGTTTCAATAATCTTTCTTTTGTGTGATGCGCAAGATTTTATTGGAATAACTTTGGAAAGCCGCATTTGAAACTTGGAAAAAAATGACGTATCATACGGGCAACAGCGTCCTGTAACGGCCCTGCTGCAACACGACGAAAATAGCAGACGACAGTGCGCTGCGGCGGCTGCTGTTTCTCCTCTTGCTCCTCACGATATCTATACGTGAAGACGGAGGAGGCGATCTGTTCATACATAGTTTTGTCGAAGTTTTCTCGAAGCACGAAATTTTTACGAACGACGGACCCACTGCGACAATGGCCGAGGTAACAGATTTCGGACCGAGAAAAACGTTTTTTATACTCGCGGTCGTGATCGGCTGCTTCACGGTGCTGTGGCCGAGAATTCTGCATCCTATGTTCATAGGATTTGTCACTCCTCATCACTCCACGACGGACGGTAAGACTCCAAGGTTCTACGCCCAAGTCAGTTGACGACGTTAGAAATGTCGCTGGAAAATGTCGCATTATCATAATAATGTTACACCTCTTATCTATATTAAACAACTTAAATTTGAATAAATATAAGAACTATTTAAGATCATAGAATTTTGAATAGATAAGAATTATTTAATTAAAAATTTGTTGGATAGATGCATTTTTATATTTTGTAAAATCATTGCTTGTTGATTGATTTGAATGATAAACTCCACTGAAGGAGTACTTTATTGTTCATATTTATGCAGTGTGCTGCGAAGTGATATTTGAAAGCGATGTCACTGCAGTGGACATCATGCAAGAAATGTGTCAAAACATATTAAGGCATCATCCGATTGATCCACGCGTGAGAGATGCCTTAAAACTTAGCAAGCTGACCCCTCAAACCGCGAGTTTGTGTAGAGAAGAGGTTCTAGCCAGATGTGGTATAGACTTGTCGTCTTTTCTCGCCGAAAGAGAAAGCTTGGGAAAAACTTATAAACAAGTACTGGAGGAAATTAGATCGTTCAATAGTTCCCTTTGCCTTAAAATGAATTTCGGTGTGCCACTGTCACAATTAGGGACACCTCATCTTATTAGATATCATATACTGATGCCACACAGTAAGAATTGCAAGAATTATAAGAACTGAGCACCACTAACTGCAGATTAATTAAATTTTGCCATATTACTCAGATATAATTAACTAATTAACCCTTGACTGTTTTCCTAATGTATTCTTGAAATCTATGGTTTTTTAATTTTTATAACAGTTTGATATGATACGCTTTGTTATTCAAATTTATCTCACATTAATATTCTTGAATCACATATGGTGACCACATGGCTCACATAAATCGCTTATATAAAAAGATAATCTTGAAAAATTATATTTTTAATGCATCACATCATCAAATATATATATGGAAATTGGATTTGAGTTGTCCATTTTGCTTTGGCTAAATGCCAAAAAAAATAAGAGTAATAGTTTGGCAGACAAGAAGCCTAGCCTATAGGCAGTTTCAAATATATCCATACTAATAATTCATTACATTCCTCTTATCACTTGATTTTCAATGCGTCTTTAAATTTTAGTAAGATTACTCAGCCTAATATATTTTTAACAGTTTTTCTGATTTCTGAATTAATTATATATATATTGAAGCAATTAACACAAGACCCTACTAATCTCTAGAACGTGAATATAGAATAAATATGTTTTGCATGAATTGAGACAAGTAGCATGTATTTTAGAGGCAAGTTTTTTTATGTTTCCATAGATACTATGCCACAAGAACGTCGTACTCCTCCTCACGCGGGCGGAATGCATCCTGCGCTGAGAGAAAGGGGAAGAGCCATACCATCTTCTCATATTATACCAAAGATAGGGTCTGACCACCCTATGCCAAAAATGAGGCCACCCCTTGGCGGTCCTGGTCACGTTGTTTCAGCACCCAAAGGAAGCAGTACTATGGGCATTATAATGCCATTATATACAATAGGAATTATTTTGTTTTTCGTATATACTATTATTAAGGTAATGTATATGAATTTTTAAATTAATTCTAACAAAATTTTGGAAGCAATGAAGACTTAAAGTTTATGTTAACAGGTTCTTAAGAAGAATACCGAGAGCGAGATTATTTCGGAATATCCAGGAGCAGCAGCTGAAAAGGAATTTCGGAGGAAGGTATTCAGTCCAGAAACTTTTGCTACTGCAATGACTGGAGGTACCCCGTATTATCTAAAAGAAAAGTCACCGCACAAGATTACTCCGACTATTGAGGAATTAAACGATCGTAAGTGCTTTTGTAAATATATTGACAATTATAATCATATTTCATTTACATTATCATCAACGCAATGTTTTTATGAGGAGCTATTTCTTTCGGAGAAATAGACTTAAGATAGATATTTTCTTGAGTATCAAGGCAGATTTTTAAGTGGTGTTGCATGATGCAAGGTTTGCACAATTAGAACACACACGTATTTATACATACGAATATACATTGCAAGATTCTGAATAAAAATGTGCATATTGCAATTATTCGTACTTATATTCTGAACACGTTTGGTGATGTTCTACATGCTGGAACACAAGAAGCAGCAGGAGACATAGAGATAGATCAACTGAGACAACGATTGGTCGAGACGGAAGCAGCCATGGAAAGAATTGTTGTCCAGATGGGCAACATATCACGTTCAGTAAAGCATAACGCGAGCTCTCAGCCAGAAATCAAGGTTTATCAGATTAATTTTGACGCCATTCACAGTTTCAGTTTATTAGTCGTTAGAGAAATGTGCACGTCGCTGTGTTCTGATTGCGTTATAAGCTTGACCCATCCAATGTACATTAAACATGTTGTACATTTAGTATAAGACCTTATCTTCAATATTTGGCTTTCTCAAATGTCGATGCTTGTGGATAACTGTTGCAACATTACAAATTGTTGGTTTAAAATTTACATAATTTACATAAGATTCATATTGATGTGTACTAGTCGAGTGTAATATTCAGTACAAACATGTAAGTCAAAATATGCGTTCGATAATAGAATTCACATTGAATATTTTACATTTTGAGTAGTAGATGGGTCTCCAAAGTCCAATGGTCTGGCAGGGGTCGATCGCGGTTCTAAGGTATATCCCTTGCCTCAAAAAATATTTCTAACAAGAGTAACCAAGAGTTTGTGGACCACTTTCTATTTCCAGTGCACTAGTTTCACAAATAATGAATCACATTAAATGTTTCTTAGACTTATATATGATAGTTTCATCATGACATGAGTCTACAGTAACAATATTTCAGTGTTTTAAGTGTAGAATGCTATTATTATTTTATCTTTTATATAAATAAAGACATACATGATTTGTCTAAATGCTAAATATTGTTGAAATATTAGTGAAATAGTAGTTGCTCCTCCCAGAGCTTCTCAATTATAAGTGCTAATTGTGTGCCTTGCATGATATCCGCTTATTTTACATGTTGTTGATACAGTATATTATAAAGTGTATAAAAGAAAATTAAATATATGGATTTCTATGACATCTTTCGTGACTTGTACATATAATTTTTTTTTTTTTTTTTCAAATAAACGTAGAATCTTTAACATGGCACATTTTTCTTAATTCTGAGGATTTTGTTATATTAAAAAATGTATATATAAAATAGCTCTCTTACATCACATTAATTAGCAAAATGGCTTTGATATTACTACATATGTGTTATTATAATATATTTTTTATCATTTTATAAAAGATGTGTAAAAATGCATATGAGAAATAAATAATGAAAGAGCAGTGTATTAAGAATTTAAATTTATAGGAGGACACTGCAGACCAGGAATCACATAGTAAGGAAGATGAAGAATTAGATGTAGCAGAACAACCTCCAACCGTTAAAGTTATGGGTATGGAAATGACAGCTAGTTGTGAAAGTGGACAAAAATGTAGCAGACCCACCACTCCAATTATTCCTGCACCAAGGTATTATTCCTTTTTTTTTTATATTTTTATCTATATTATTACTATTTTCTTGATTTACTGAATTTTATTATTTGTTTCAGTATCATTGAAAGAGAAAAAACGCCACCAACACCAATATATTTAGAGGGTGCACTTCCATCGCAATGTGAATTACTAGTAACCGATTCAGAAACTCAAGCTGAAAAGTCAGAGGACGATGACGACGCAATTGTTCTCTCAGGCAAAATGACTCTCTCTCTCATCAGTCTCGACCAGATTCCAGCTGTAAGGAAATATTAGAATTACCAACAGAATCAAATGAATCTGCGGAGCCTTGTTTTATTTGGTGATTCTTTCATTCATTTAATTGTTTGCCTAACTTCTGTATAGGTTACTTAATATAGAGATCACAAATCACAGGAACTAAATGCAGAACTAAGTGCAAAGAATGGTTTCTTGGCTATTACATATATGGGTATGAGTGATGCGCTGATTTCATTGTTTATTATTTCTTCCCAATTATTCTCTGTGATTTGTTCGAAATATTAATAACTAGTGCCTTGTACTTTTTATGTTTCACTAATATCTTAATTTTAATATAAGATACACTGGCTTGTTAATACAAATTTAAGTTCTGTCAAAAGAATACCAGATGCTGAAATAGAGTGCCAAATTTGAAGAGCGTATTCTGCAATTTGGCCATCTATATCATGTCATCTATTACACATAATTTATGTTTCAAATAAAAAATATGTAACTTATTTATTTAATATTATTTATATCCGCGTGTTTACCCAAATTACTAAAATACGGTGAATTTGTTCTTAATTTTTGTAATTTTGATAAGTTTATGAATTCTTATACTTAATTTTATAATACTAATGAAATAATATGCAAATTGCGTTTGAAAAAAACAACACTATTAATTATATATTCACATATTAATCATCACAGCTATAGAAATAACGATATATCTTGTTACATTTGCGATATAATATACCGCATTTAACATTGACATTAAAAATTTAGTAATTTCATAAAATGAGTCACATAATTTAATCGAATTATATTTATTTGTAGTTTATAGCGGAAACAATAGAAATAACGTTAATTTAATAATATCTAATATTTTTATGTTTTTCTACAAATACAATAATATAAAATGCATGTATAAAATATAACTGCATTTTTAAAAATAAAATAAGAAATTTATTTATTTTACGTATAAATTATTTTCAGTATTATTTAATTCAGAAAAATATTTATAAGGATGAAACTTTTTATGAAAATATTTATTAAAAAATACTAAATATTTTGTTCCGCAAAAAGTTATATATGTATATGTATTCACGAAATTATTCAAAAATTAAACCTTACATCTTGAGATATTTACTAATAAAGTATATCAAATACTGTGTTTGTAAATATTTAAGAATGTCTGCAAACTTTATATTCTTCTAAGATCGATACAGATCTAAGGTCGGTAGTTGATCAGTTGTTGATTCCTATAATGGCTTCACTACTCGAGAGAAATATTCGGATAATTCGGAAACGTATCAGAATGGTATTGTATTTCACAAATAATGAAGACATTGCTTGTTTAATGTTATTAAGTGAACAATCGATGGAAGAAATTTTGCAGTTAATTTATAACATTATTATTTTATAATAATGTTATAAATTAACTACTCATTAATATGAAAATTATGACTTAATCTCGTTGTATATTTACACTATTTCAATATTATGGATACTATATATAGAAGATAAATTAAAACGTTGAATTGTTTTGTTATTATAACATTCATATAAAATTTAATTTAAAATTTATTTTGATGAAAAATTGTGATTAAAAACTGTGACTCATCCTTTATTTTATTTAATAAATAGTCCTTTAAATTTTTTATGTTAAATTATTTATTTTATAATTTAAAATGTAATTCTATATAACATAATCATCGTATTTCACTTGTAGGATTCGGATGCTGAAAATCCAGATAATAAGAGAAAAAGGGTTTTGGATACCCAAATGGAAATTAGAGATGTAAAAGATACAAAAAATATAATATTGCAAAAGGAGGAAAATAGAGGAAAGGAAGATGAAAATGAAGAAGAAGTATTGGAAATTGAAGAGGCAATAGAAATGGAGGAAAGTGAAGAGGAAGTAGAGGAGGAAGAAAATGATCAAGAAAAAGAATTACATGAAGAAAAAAATAAAGAGGTAATAGAAGAAGAGAAATTAGAGCAAGAGAAAGGAAAGATGGAGGAAAAAGACGAGGAAGAGGAAGAAGAGGACGAGGAGGAAGAGGAAGAGGAAGAGGAGGAGGAGGAAGAGGAAGAGGAGGAGGAGGAGGAGGAGGAGGAAGAGGAGGAGGAAGAGGAAGATGAAGATGAAGATAAAGAATACGAAGACGAAGAAGACGATGACAAGTTGGATTAAAAACTTAGAAAAGATGAAGAAAAAGAAATAAAAATAAAAGAAACCAGCTAAGAGTGAAAAGACTTTTAGAAGTAATTCTGTTTCTTCACATGGATCAGTGTTTACCAATCTTTAATAAGTCTTTTTATTATAATGAAAATAACTACGATTATCTCATAATACATATGTCTAAGAAAGCTGGTTTAATATGATGATGCATAAACTGTTGGTTAAGCACTGCCAGATACTTAAAATGTTGTATGTATCATATTTTTGGTTTTTCAAAAAATCATATTTGACATTTTATAGAATTGTAAATTTATTAATCATAGGGGCCAAAAGAAAGAGAGGCAGTGCTGTCTGTGCCACGTTACAATGCAATGATGACATAGATACTTCGACCTATTACATTATTACTTGTAATTAGAAATTTGTTTTAAGAATCTCCAGTAGATAAAAATAACAGAAAGAGTTATGAATCTGTCCAATCGTAGTATATAATATACATGTCAAATTCGGTGATTGGCAAGCACTGATACAACTATCATGAAAGCCAAAAATCTTCATTTTTATACAACACAGATAGAGTTCATTCTATTTTGCTTCTTATACTAATCATTGTTTTATAAATGTTTAATTTTACGTTGTAGGATTTTAATGCCCTATTTTTAATTGTCATTAAATTCGATAATATGCTTTCTAATTTCTGTATTTATTGTGAAACACAGACTGCTTTATCATTTTTACGTTTCTGATTTTAGTTTGTAAATATAAATTAAAATACATTTATTTAAAGTACGTATATAGAAAATTTATTTCATTCAAAATCAATTTCATTAACAAATATATTTTATTGTACATGATAATTAATAATTTATAAAAACAGTTTTCAGAAACAGGCTATACTTTCTATTTTTAAATAATTTATAGTATCTAAGCTGATAATTTTATTATCTTTAATTGCTCTTACATAAAAATCAATACAGTAAAATAGTAAAAAAATAAGATTAAATGATTGAATAAAAAATATGCAGATTTGTTATAAATTATATAAAGGTATAGAGTTGATTAATATAATAGGCAAATATATATGTAACATCAACATTCTTGATGCTATAAACTATATTTTATATTGCATGAAAATGTTACTGTTTTCGTAATAATATCATACGTTAAGAGCAATGTTAAAATTTAATTAAACAAAGTAGAATATCTTTAATATTCTTCAGTCTTTCATACATAAACCTATCACATATTTTTTAATTCAACATTACTCAGTAACATCTGTTCATACTTAATTAAATCCCATTTGGCTTATATATCGAAGTAAGCTCTCTTGCAAGTGGAAGTACTTATGTGCAATATGAGATGATGAGACTAATATAATATTTATATTAGAAAATGCTATGTAGATAAGTTCTAGACAAAGCAATCCATATGAACTGTTTTGTGTGCAAATAAAATGTTGTATAACTTATTAGATAATATATAGTATTACTGATTTTTATTAAAAATTAGCGATACTTGTTCATGTAGTAAAGACAGCCATTCAATACAAGCGCTATTAATTATCTTTATGTAGTGATCGATAGTAATTAAATATTGTTATCAAAAATTGAATACGTAAGCTTTAAATATATTAAAAATATATTTAATCTTATCGTATTATATATATATATATTGCTATTTGCAAATAGTTAATAAATATTTGCATGTAAATGCTATTATATTTTATCACATATGCAATAAAGGTTTCATATATTCCTATCATGCAAAACTGCTGATATGAAAAAAAGAAAAAATATGTAAAAAAAATTAAAATTAGAAAGAAAATATATAATAAAACGGGATGCGTTTTTTTTTTTTAAACTTCTGTCAGAGAGAAATCTAAAAGCCTCAGAGCGGACATCCAGCCATCATCAATACAATGTCCATTTTAGCAATATGGGAACTGTTTCGCAAAAAGAGATGTGGTACCTAAAGTACTTTTTTCCACAATAGAGAAAACCTTTTTAATTTCCACATCGCTAAAATGAATGTTAATGAGCTAATATACGGAATTTTGATAATCCTACAAAAAGAGCTAAAAAAAAAGCTGGGATGTTAATTTTTAGTACTACTTATGAAAAGAAAAAACAAAATAGTAAGTTTTTCTGTTTTTTTAGATATTGCATAAATACAAGAAGAAATTTTACTACATTTTATATATAATAATTTTATATGATCAATTTTATGCAATACTTTTATATCAAAGAAAAGATTTATATATAAATTTATAAATAAAAAATTAAGACATGTATAAAAGACATTATAAATATATTTTTATATTTTCTAAATAATATATATTTACTAGCAGATTAGATTACGAACTTTATGCTCAAAGATATCCTTTTACTTTATACTTGATTTGATTCTGTTAGTCTTGATTACGATATAAATGTCATGACTGCCAAGAGTATATACAGTATACACGATCCAAACACGAGTTCTATATAGGCAAAACAGTAGTACATACATGCATTCGAAAATTTCACCTGTTTCATCTTACTTTTCTTATTTTGCTTCTAATTTAATAGGAAAAAAACAATCTCACGCAAACATAAAATATTTCGGTTTAAATTCTAGTTCTTCGACAGAATACAGAATCAGCTGTAACATCAAGAAATTTTGTAAATATAACCTATAAGAAAGATTTCTTCATTATTATGCCAAATGTTATGTGATACTTATGCTGATACTTGAGATATTTAGAAACAGATCAATTTCAACATAAGTGATGCTCGGTCCCTTACACTGCCGGACAGCGTTGAAAATAGAAGAGCACTTCGCATGTTCTTCCCTTCAAAGGTTTGATAGATGAGAATCCCACGTTTTTTCCGTAATGTCTTAATCGGCATCCCGATCGGGATTGCTTTTTGCGACACAGTCGGATATGTCGCGAGGGTGGAAGGAATTTCCATGCAACCTGCATTAAATCCAGATTTACGGTATCCTGATTACGTATTTCTGAATCGCTGGGCTATCCGGAATCAAGATATACAGCGCGGCGACGTAGTGTGCGTTGTTTCTCCCAAGGTGCCAAATCAGACCCTTATCAAGAGAGTTGTGGGACTTGCTGGCGATATTATAGGCACGCATGGATACAAGCTCTGTACCATCCAAGTATGGATACGATATGTAGAAGTAATTATTGGGTATATAACAGTAAATAACGGTGCTTGGGTTCTAACAATTACTGACAACTTGGTATTATTATCCTTTAAATATTTGTAAATTAATTGTGGTATTATAAATATAGGTACCAGAAGGACACTGTTGGTTGGAAGGAGATCACGTTGGACATTCTATGGACTCTAATACCTTTGGGCCAATATCTCTAGGTCTGGTAACAGCAAAAGCTACTCATATAGTTTGGCCACCAAATCGATGGCAACAGTTACATTCTACAAAACCTAATCATGAGAGCTGTTAGTTTTGTAAAGAAATTGCAATGGGAATTACCTGGTACTGTATTCAGGTAAGTTTAACTGTTTATATTCTATAACTTTTGAATGGATCTCACTCTGAAGAGATCTTATTCTTAAAGGTTGAAAATTAAACCATTTTTTAAAAGACTGGCTCAACTTTTACTTTTTAAAGTAAGATTCCACTCCAAAGAATTTATAGTTTAATCATTGCTATTTTAACTTATTGTTAGTAAAAATAGTTTATAATAGAAATTATTATGCACAGACATGGCTTAACCATAGGAGATGTTGATAATGATGGTGATAATGAATTGGTTGTTGGTACTGCTGAAGGAGAACTTTATATCTTCAAGGTAAATATATTAATAAAAGAGAGAGACTATCTTAAATTTATATGTTTTAAAATTGTAAGTAATAAATATTTGCTCTTATGTAATAGGGATCAGAATTGTGGCAGAAAATTACTGGCCTTGGTCTTATAACTAGTGTAGCGATTGGAGATATTTTTAATTATGGACGCAATGCTCTAGTTGTTATCTGTGGCGATGGATGGACACATATATTTTACAGTCCCAGATCTGTCAATCCTAACAACCCTAACATACTTACAGGCCAACATATCAGTAAAGATACAAACGAGCAAGACAATTTCAAAACAAGTGCTGGTAAGTCTGAGTTTCAGGAAGATATACTTTATATTACAATATATTACAATAACAATACATTTAAGTAATTCTTATAAGATATGTTTGTGCAGATACAGGAAATTCTCAAAATACAGAACATGTTGACAATACTAATGAAATCAATGAACTCTCTGGGAAAATGGAATGTGTACATGTACAAAGAATCCCAACTAATACAAAAATAGTGCTGATAGCGGATGTCGACAAAGATGGTGCTAATGAGATGATTCTTGGTCTGACGGACCGTGTTGTAAGATCTTACAGATGGTCGAGTAATGCTGACTTGGAAACAGGAAAATTAGTTGGCTTAAATAAGTGGGAATGTACTAATCAAATAGGAACGGTTACGTTACAAGTATGTCATATTGAAATATAGACTTTATTATTTTATTATATAATTATTAATTGTTTTTTTTTTTATCGATATTGTTATCTGGTTAGACATTTACAACAGTAGTTATGCTGAAGCCTAATTACCATTTGCATATTCCTATGTTTTCTCTTGTAACTTCATATAAACTTATTTATATGATATAAAATTAAATTAAATTGTATATTATCTATCAGTATAATGAATTATTATATAAATTATAAATAGACATTAAATAATTAATACATGGTTAGACATTTACAACAGTAGTTATGCTGAAGCCTAATTACCATTTGCATATTCCTATGTTTTCTCTTGTAACTTCATATAAACTTATTTATATGATATAAAATTAAATTAAATTGTATATTATCTATCAGTATAATGAATTATTATATAAATTATAAATAGACATTAAATAATTAATACAACAAAAATTTTTGTTTAGCATACTGGTGATGGTACACCAACTTTATTAGTCGCACAACCTGGTGGCACATTCATGCGGATTAAGTGCAATCCTGAAGATTGTCAATCAAAGAATAGTTCCTGCGAAGCTGTAGATTATCAGACATTAGGAATATCTAGAATGCGCAATCAAAATATTTCGACGGAGATTATTGGAGATTTAAAGCCAGGAAAAACGCCATTTATTTCAACGATTGAATCTAAAATATCTAGTTATGTGCCGAAAGATAAATTGCCAAAACAAATTTTCGCAGACGATAGTCAACTAGACAGAAAAACATTCAAACCTACATCGCTCGAGTTCAAAAGAAACTTCTCACAGCCAGCGTTTCGAAAAAATAGCCTGGATATGGCTGGCGAGTATGGTAGAGATTTTACAACAGAAAATCAAGGCCTAGTTAGATTTTATAGTCCCATTGAATCTTCAAGCACTGATGAAATGGATGGCAACTTTATCGGTGGCAATGTTATTCTCGGAGAATACGATAATAAAACTATGAAAGATACATTATTACCATCTTTTACAAATTTTTCCCACAATAATAATAAAAATAATAATAATAGCAACAATATCAGTAAATCAAATCAAGAAAAAAACATAAAAGATGATACAGATTCAAACAATGAAGTCACCAGTGAAAATATTTCGAAGGGAAAACCTTATGCCTTAGCAACACTTGATGGAACTATTATGTTAGTACAAGATGAAGTCATTTTATGGTAAGCAATCCTTTTTATCGATGTTTAGATATATCTGAATAATTACGAATATATTGCATTGTTTTTTCCTTACAGGGCTATGCAGGTAGATCATCAGATATTCGCTTTATGTCGATTGGATGTCACAGGTGATAATTCTGACGAGATAATAGCTTGTGCCTGGGATGGTCAGACTTATATTTTGGATCAGCAACGACATAGTGTGCGCTTTCAATTTGAGGAACCGGTCAGAGCTTTTTGTACGGGAAATTACAACGTGATTCCGGGAACATCTAGTCCTAGCTTGGTGTATAATACTTTCAACAACAAGGTTTTTTATTTGTATATAATTTGTATATAATTTTTATTTATATATAAGTTTATACATGTGAATTAATTAATATCATTCACATGATTATGACAATAATAATTATATTTTCTCCCAGATTTATCTTTATTATGATGTTACTCTGCCGAGCATGACGATCACTGCTCTGAATCCCATGAAGGACTTCGAATCTGATGAAATGCAAGTTTTAGAGAAATTATTGGGCGAGTGTAATATAAACGAGAAACAGCAAAAGATGCGACAGTTAACTGAGTGGTTGTTGTATGGCGTACATTAGTATATAACAGATATAATTATGTATACAGCGTGATTCTTATGTAACAATATATGTGTTTTAAGAATCGCCCTGTATAAGCAAAAATGTATAATAAAACATGCATATTCTGGTACATGTGTTAAATCATTATTCTTGTTTTTTAATCTTTACATTTTCTAAAATAAATAAATAATTATTTTATTGATATATAAAAATAAATCAATAACAAATGTACTTGTATCTGAATGCATCTAATAACTATTACACAAATTGGTATTACTGTGTTACACAAATTGATATATTATTTCCAATCGGAAAACGTCCGATTCTAATTGTGAAACAAATTAATAAATTATGTTTCTACTTTGGTATCTCACATTCAATAGGAATTGTGTATGCGATTGTTCTATGGGTTACGTCACTGTGTTATCGCGAAGGATATACGACCAAAAGTCCGTGCAAATTTTTGGCAAACAAGTAACCAACGATATCGGCAATGAAATTAATTTTAGCGTAGAGTGCAACATAAAGACGCCTATTTAAGGATTCTCGTCTATTTGTCAAGTCGTAGCGTTTTATCTGCAGTATCGTAAATCAGGCTGACACCACGCTGAATGTTGGCCCAACATATAGCTTTCTCATTGCACGCCATCATTGTCAGTGGGTATGTAGATTTCGTCCAGTACTTTTCCAAATTCCAACAAAATTTTATTATTCGATACATACATGATTAGATCGTGGACACGTAAACGACAATTTTTCGAAATTCAGTCACTTTATTTTCGGCGCAGTGCGTTACTCCAGATACTAATGCGGAACTCAGATCGTTGTACAGTGTGAAGGAAATAATCGAAATATGTACGTATAATTTATAATTGATAATAGCATCCGCAAAAAAATTTAGACGAAATTTTAAATAGGATTGTCTACAAGCCTGTTCTTTTTAGAACTTGTTACATGGTTCACTTTCCTCTTTCTCTTTTCACTTTGGAGAGGAAAAGAGAAAAGCTAAATTATGCACTCATACAAAAAATTCAGCTAAAAAAAGAATTAAGATCTTAAGTTTATATTCCATTTGAATACAAAATAATGAGATAATTTATTTAAATTGAAAAGTAAAAATTAAGAATTTTTTAAATCATAGTAATATTGTATTATTAAAATATTAACTATCGGGAATATTTCTAATCTAACGACTTTAGTTTAATTAGAATTAACAAATGTAACAGGAGATCAATACAATGTTAGCCTTTAACTTTGCATTTTTTGTACATAGAACTTTATGCGAGATAATCTAACGATTATCTCTAATCTAACGATCCCTTCTATGTATAACTAATCCTGAAATGTAGATATTCTCTAAAATAGTTAATTATCGCGAATCTTTTAAACTAGTGAATCCAGAATGATCGTCAATGGCACAGAATCGTTTTTCATGGGCCACGAGCTGAAGGAACTTACTTTCGGATGGACCGATTATACTCTCTTTGCCGGTCTGCTGGGCATCAGTATGCTCATCGGCATCTACTTCGGTTTCTTCAGCACGAAGCAGAATAACACCACCGAATATTTACTCGGTGGCAAATCCATGTCCTTTCTTCCGATTAGCATGAGTCTAATAGCAAGGTGACTTTTAAAATGTTTCGCACACTTTATCATCGTTTCGATATATAATTTTTATTTCGAATATATGTATGTTTATAACAATTTTTTTTGTTTATTTTAGAATCAATCATTAGTAAATAAAGAAAAATATAATTAACACAAAATTATTTCTCAAGAATGCAGAATATAAATGTTATTTTTGCTTTCCGACGATTTTATCAAGAAAAATTAAAATAAATATATTTACAGAAATCTCTCTCTCTCTCTCTCTCTCTCTCTCTCTCTCTCTCTCTCTCTCTCTCTACTGAAATATACTGTAGAGATAAGAGAAGATAATGAGTTAAGATTGAAAAGACTTAACTATAAGAATACTAGTTGGGCTACAACATTCTTTTAAATTGAAACTGATTAAATTAAGAATAAGATTTTATTATTTATTAATGGAAGTTTAACTTGTGAAAAGCTCTTGCACTTTTAGCTAACCATTTAGAAATTATTTGGATATCTTTATGATAAAAATTTTACCGACGAAAAATTACTTACAAATTGATGAAAAAAGTTGTACTCTCAAATAAATTGGAGCACTCCACATATGTTTAATGCAATTCCTAATATTTAATAATATAATATAAAAAAAGATTCATTTCTAATGAAAATAAAATCTATTTTCAGTCACATATCGGGAGTGTCTTTGCTTGGCGTTCCATCGGAGGTGTATCAGTATGGAACTCAGTATGCGGCGTGCATTTTCACATCCTTCATAAGCTGTTTCATAATCGTATCCATATACCTACCGGTATTTTACAAGCTACAGCTGACGAGCACTTTCGAGTATCTAGAAATTAGATTTGCCAGGCCGGTCCGGCAATTAGCGTCCTTTCTCTACACCCTTGCGCTGGTGATCTATGTACCGTTGATAATCTATGTGCCGGCGTTAGCCTTTTCGCAAGCGACCGGGATGAATCTGCATTATGTCGCGCCAGTGATATGCATGGTGTGCATCTTCTACACGACCATCGTAAGTGATACAAACTTTTCAATTATAATTATCATTGCGACATATCATGATGAACGTTTACCGATCTATTGAAGATCATAAATTCTGTATTACTTTCTAAATGTTTTGAGAATGAAAGCGTTTCATATTTTCGCAGCTTTACGTATTTCTTGAAACGTTCTTGTGATGTTCAATAGACATTTGCGTGTAATCAAACGAAGAATGTTAGACGTTATCGTTATCATCAGGATTAGGAAAGGTACTTTATAAAAGTAATTAGTTACAGTTACTTAAAAAGTAGTAAGTCATTACTTTTCAGTTATTTTTCTGTTAATTTTTGCATTGCTATTTTAAATATAAGAATTCTGAATTTTATACATTTCTAACATGGTAAATTTTTTTTTTTATTATACTAAATATTCGATTATACGCTGTATCATTTATAATAAATGTTCAGTCGAAATCAAAATTATAAAGACGCGTTTACGTACTAAAAATATAGATATTTACAGAATGAGATAAAGATTTATTGCAACCACTGATTGTGTTCACTGAACATTTCATTTTGGTTAGTTCTTCTATGCAATGAATAAGTTTGATATAAAGTAACTATAAAAGTAAATAAATAACATTTATTTCTATAAAAGTAACTATTAAATTAGTTATTAAAAAATAGTTATAGTTATAAACGGGGAAAAAAGGGACACAAAGTTAATAATTATTGAAAAAAAAAATAGATAACTGTAATTTCGTTACAAGTAACGAGTTACTTTTCAACTCTGGTTATCGTCTATTAACATTTGCACATGACGCATATTAAAACGAAGGATTTTCTAAGGTCGTAAAAGTCGTAAGATCATGTCTAGATAAATAGAAGATCGTGAAACCGGAATGGGAGTTTTCATACGCGTCATCTTGCAGCCGTGACGTTATCGGAGAATAATCACAATCTAGTTAAATGAAACGTTCTGCTGCGACGACTATCGAATAAACAATTATTTAGAGAGGAATTACCTGAATTTGTTGAACACGACTGCTAAACACGGTTTTATCAGTTTCGTAGGTTACTGGGTTATTTACGACGTGGTATCGCTCCAATTAAGTAACGGCTACTTTGCCACGCCGCTTGAATAAGGTACACAAAAACGATGACGAAATTGGCAGGTATTTGCCTTTATTTTGCACTTGTTTGAACAATAGTACGTTAAATAACATGTGTGCGAAAAGTGCATAGGTCGTGCATTGCTTTGCTATGAAGAGATAATTTCAATATCTTTCGAAGATTGACGATAAAGAAAAGTAAACGCTTTTTGTAAGCTTATTATACGCGATAACATCAACATTTACTGACGATTACTTTTTCATAGAATACACAAGCTTACACGGAAAGACGGTTTTGCTGAAATATTTAAAAACGCAACTATACATAGATACAGATCCGAAAATAATTGTGCTAAACGAACAAACTAATTGTATACGACATTTATTAAACTGCTGTTAGAATGTCAATGCTTTTTGCAGCATTATCATCATGCTCGAGCATTCTACCTAATTATTTTTATCAATTATACATATAAATAAAAAAAAAACAGTTTTAGTAAACTATATAAAATTGTAGTTAGATATTAAAATAATTTTGTTGAGTCATTAAAATAATATTTCATTTTTTGCTACTTGCCTTATTATGTTTTATTAAAAATCAAACTCATATTATGCAACGTAATATAATGGGACAAATGACAAAACAATGAAATGTTATATTATTGACCAAAAAAATTATTTTTACATCTGTTTTTAACTAAAATTTTAGATACTTTAACAAAAACTGTTCTTTCTATGTATATAGCTTGCTAATTAAATATGTTACTATTGATACAATTTACGAACTACGAGACTACTTTAAAATCGACATTGTTATTAAAATATTAATACTGTATGGGATGCACGTAAGTCTTTTGATATACGATAAAATTCATGACGATAACGATTTATAAAATACATATATCGTAGTGTTGTATCGTAACATCATTATGCAATTGTGTTACGATCTCTCCCCTGGGTTTACGTTTCACCGACTCCCCGATCATTTGATTCTGTGCACGTCGTGTCGTGACTGACACTGATACCTTTATTGTGTGCGAGTAAGCTCTTTTTGAAAAAAAAAAAAATATATCTTATACAGGGAGGTCTGAAGGCTGTCGTATGGGCGGATACGGTTCAGATGACGGTGACTGTCGGAAGTCTCATTGCCGTTTTGATATTGGGAACGATTGCCGTGGGCGGTGTTAGCGAAACCTGGAGGATAGCCGAACAGGGTGGTAGAATTATATTTTGGAAGTAAGAACAGGTGTATTTTTTATGTTACAATTTATTAATAAAAGAGAGAAACATCTCTCATTTATTAATTAAAATTGAACGAACCAAGGAACGTAAATTCGCGTATTGCATCAAGGATCTGTATTTAATCCAGATTTGTTGACTGCAAATTGATCTTGAGAAGTCAACAATTCACGTTTCTTCTAACATTCGTTTTTGTATATAGACATTAAATTGTATTTTTCAGTCTTTCAATTTAATATTGTTATTCTAACTAGCGATGTTTTATATTCAGCTAATATTTTCAATTCTCTTTCATACAGCATGGATCCCAATCCATTTACCAGAAATTCGTTTTGGGGCATGACAGTGGGAATGGTAATGGCATGGCTGGCATCGTTGGGCATTAGCCAGGTTTCTATGCAAAGATTTCTCGCAGTACCTACTATTAAGGAAGCACAGAAGTAAGTGCGAAATATTTGCTTTCTTTGAATATCATTTGATATTAGTATAGCATCGTTGAAACGCCGAATAGTCTCAAATCGTCTTTCAAGTAAAAACTCAAAGAAAGAATTTTGTCACGAATAATTAATAAACAATTTTGAGTAATAAATATTACATGACAAAAAATATTCTCATAATAAAAAAATAAGATATTAAGTGATCAAAAACACAAAATAAATGTAAATGAATAAATCGCTATGTCCTTTGAAAAATAGAAATCTGAACGGGAAAAAATAAGAATGATATTGTTTTATGCACACCTTTGCAGATCGGTATGGTTCCTGGCTGTGGGCTTAGTGTTCGTAAAAATGATTTCGGTTTTCACGGGTCTTATAATGTACGCTAGATATCACAAATGCGATCCTATAACCGCACACGTAAGTTTTGACTTCATTTTTTTTATCATTTCTTTATTAATCTTTATCTAAGAACGTAAATAAAACTTATGAGATATCAAACGAAGCTTAAAACTTGAAAGGATGGCGATAAGTACTTATACTAGAATGAAGTTAAGGAAATATATGCAAATGTACTATTAACTATTAAGTTTGATTGCCGAAAAATTGTAATTTTATTGTAAATTTAGTTAGAGATAGTTGATAATATGTTCTATTTAACTTTGACATTGTATAAATATATCTTCGCTACTCTGGATAATGTAAAAAAAGTTTTTAAAAAAAGAATAGCTTATTTTTCAAAACAACAGACATTATGGTTAACAACATATCTTTTTCAATTATTTTTTCTGAGAAATTTTAATATAATTGATGTCTTTTTTAACTTTTGAACAGTGTAAGAGATTAAAGTCAAGATAAAATTTCTTCAAAATTTATTTAAAAAAAATGAACTTTCTTAATTAGATTTATCGTATCATTAAACCCTTTCCTGAGATTTCTTTTACCTTATCTTCAACGATACTCACATCATAAAAATGCAATAAATCGTGTAATTAAAGTAAGATTAAAAAGTTGAGCAATTAAGGATTAAACGAATCGCCTTTCGTGAAAATTCCAGTGAAGAAAATTACCTCGTTTTTAGGTGGTAGCAAGGAGCGACAAGATATTGCCGTATTACGTGTTAGACGTAGCCGCGAACGTTCCGGGACTTCCTGGCCTCTTTCTCGCCGGTCTGGTGAGTGCCGGACTCTCGACGATGAGCGCTGGGCTGAACACAGTCGCCGGCACGATTTACGAGGATTTCATTGATCCCTGGATGCCAGAAAGCAACGACAAAGAAACTAAAGCTGCCAACATTATGAAGGTACAAAGACGGAATACCTATACTGTCGTTCGATACCGTAAGAAAAATAAAAGACTCGATCTTTTTCTTCGTTCTTTGGAAAGCAATATCGTTAAGCAAGAGTTTCGCCAAATGAATAAAAATAGAAAGAATTCGGGAATGTACATCTCTTCATTTCCGAAACACGCGAGCGAAGATCAGCGATTCCAGAACGATTTATTTATATCATTCTCAGGTTACGGTGGTAGTCCTAGGCATCTTATGCGTGGGCATGGTATTCGTCGTGGACCGTCTTGGCGACATCTTTCAGCTATCCCTGACTCTGACCGGTGTCACCGCTGGTACCATGACGGGTCTGTTCTCGTTGGGGATGTTGGTACCCTGGGCGACGGCCAAGGGAGCGGTGGTCGGCGGAGTAGTCTCGATGATGACGATGATCTGGATCATTGTCGGCGCGCAATGGCACATGGCTAATCGCACTCTCTACTACGAACCGCTTCCTTCCTCAACGGAGGGTTGCCTGAATATGCCCGGTCTATTTAATCGTACGACCACAACAACGCAGAATCCTATACAAGTCGAATCTGTGGACGAACCTTTCTTCATATACAGGATATCCTTCATGTATTATACGCTATTGGGAGCCTTAATCGTGATGGTTGTCGGCACGATAGTCAGCTTTATCTGCGGCGCTTCTGATTTAAGGAACATTGACCGAGATTATTTCCCACCGTTTATAACCAGGTCTGTATTTAAATACTTCATTATGAAATGTAAGTTTTCATTTAATATGTATCGAAGTAAAAAAATTAAGATATTTCTTTCTGATCTTTTAATCAAAATTTATAAGCGAGTACATTTAAATTCTAAAATTGGCGGAAAGAAGATATATTTACACATTTTTGATAGTAACTTGTCTACATATTACTGTTAGCATGTTGCTCACATCATACTATGATATTATGTGATGCTACCAGAATTGTAGCAACTGAATCCGCATTAGTTGGTAAATTGATTTACAATATGATAATTTTGAATAGCAATTTGCCGAGAACTTTGAAATCGTCATCGCAATTCATGCTATTGCCGTTATGTTACTATAATAATTTATAGGATCATATAATGCTATTATGTTACCGACAATGCAAAGTAACTTTGATGCTATCTTGCCGTAAAACTGCTGGCGATACATATACATCATTGCCAAAAGCATTGTTTCAATGTCGATATACTTGAAATAATTAAAGACAAATATGTGGCGAGTTGCCAGCATCATAAACAATCACATTTGTGCAGTTTTGCTGAGACTCGCTTGGTTATCTGGGACTCGTAAAAAAATTTATCCTTTTTCATTTTGTTAATTCAGACGATTGCATCAAATATTAAAGTTCGTTTGTTGGAATCAACTTATTTTGAATATATTTTTATCGCGTTTGATAATTTATGTATTTATATTACATATTTATTTTCTCTTTACTATGTTTCTATCCACATGTTTTTATCATTTTCAGATTTATGCCACCAAAAAAATATATGGAAGTGTCGTTGCATACGGTGCCAACAGCATTGATAACCAATCCAGAGAAAGAAGAATTAAAATCTTGAAACATGTATATTTTATTCCAACCTTATCTCTTTTCCGTGACCGTACAAGACTTTATTACAGTAAAACACACACATGCACATATAATATATATGCGCTTAAACATACCGTTTAATATCGTTTGATTGCAAAAGTTCTCTGTAATAATATTCTCTGCATACTCTGTACACATCGCGAACATATTAGTACGTAAGACGTCCTATCTGTCCTGCCAAACTAATTCTTAAGCCAGTAAAACTTTCAGTACATCAACATTGATAGAGAGATGTTTAGAAAGAGATTTCCGTAAACCGTCCAAGAAAAAAAGCTTCAATCAATAAATCCTTAACGACATAAATTGTTCAGAGACAGCGATCGACAGACAAGCGGACACATTTGCCAGGAGATAACTGGCTCGTCCGGAGTTGAAAGCACCCATTAGAACGTCGATGAGGGTGTCAAATTGACTAGATTATATATCTGCCCCACGCATCTCAATACAAACAAGTCCCTGCCATCTGAAACATCTGGAGGAACGATGCCTATCGGATTAGAGCCGAATGTAAATGCCGCGGGAGTTTTTTGTCGAGTCATTCGTCGAGTCTCTCTTTAAAATCCGCGGTGGATCGATCGGTGTCAGAGCGTGCCATCGCGCGCACTGGACTCGTAACAAATTTCGAAGACTTTTCTCGTCTCTCGAGAGACGCGAGCGAGAGGCCACCAATTTGACTCACGGGGGGGGGGGGGAAATGACGAAAGGGAAGACCCTTATCAGCGATCACCGACTCGCAGACGAAGGAAACCCCGATCGACTGTTCCGCGGGGAACATTCCACGTCTCCAGCCGAGAAACGACGCTTCTGTCTCGAAGCGGCGACCACATTCCACCGCGGAGCGGTTTTATTTTATTAGACTGAAAGGTGTCAAATATAGGCGGCAGGGACCCATCTACTTACATACCGATGCGCGAGTTTCGGGGAACCCCTCCGCCTGCCCCCTCGCTGTTCCCCTTTCTATCCGGTCTGATTTCAACGTGTGGGTAAAATCCCGAACTGAGAACCAGGCTTGCATTGTGGGCCGGGTGACAGATTTTTGACAGATTCTGTCTGATTTGGTGTCGAGTGACAGACCTGAGAGGCCCGATCGTGCAGCCTCCTCGTGGTTGACGTTGTCGTATCGCGCCCCTCTTTATACCAAGTATCTCTTGAAAACGGCGCTTGGTTATATGCTTCGCCCCAGGTAATCATTCAGGCCAATTATTATTTTTATATTTATAAAATGAAGATAGTATGATTGAAAGTGAATCTGAGAAAAAAAATAAGCTTATTATACCGAGTAATCTAGAACCAAAAAATAAAATTACGCAATAAAATTACAAAAATTAAAAATCTTATGCATATAGATAATAACATCGATCTATTGTTTGAAAAATTAATTAGATGTTTAATTCAAAACCATTGTAAGTATAATTGGAAGTCAACTCATCTTTTACATTTTAATTTATTCATCTTAGTGTATTCAATTTACTTCATGGCTTTCATTATTTTTAATCTTTACAGTGAAGCCATAATGGCGTTAAAATATTGATAAGGGATGCAATAAAAAGTAATAAATTATAATAAATCTTACTCAAGAAAAAACTGTAAAAAACAGATCCCCGTCCTTTAAAGATTAATGCTTAATTCGGTACAATTTATTTTAATTTTTCTTTAATCATCCTATTTTTCTCTAAGGTGCATGCATATGTACTATATGTGCAATGAGTAAAGTCAGAAACACTTAGAAAAACCTAAGGCAATAAGATGTTTAAGCAATAACGACTCAATTACAATAGAAAATAGGTCTATTCGCGTTGCTTGAAATCCCGTAAAATGAGACAGATATTACGCGTTGAAAAAATAAAAAACAAAAATGAGTGCAAAAAGTACACGCGAAGATACTTAGTGTAATTGTCTTACGTTCTTTACTGTGATTGGTCGATTTGTTTACTGCTTACATTTTACTACGTTAAACAAAAGTCAATGTAATATTTCAAAATCAATTACGATTTGTATATATAGCTAAAAATATTATTATACGATTGGGATTTTCTATTTTACACCTCTTTTATATCTTTGTAGCTTTAAAGAGTCTTTCATGCTTTAGGAGTTCTGCGCCCCTGAGTCACTCCGTCGGGCTTTCGCTGCGGGCCTGCACATAGGTCGAAGACAAATTTCCAGCTTTGGGTCGTAGCTACCACTATACGGTCAAGGTTTCTGGGGAGCCACTGTATACCATGCGAAACGATCATAAAAGACCAGGGAGCTGTCGTGTGGGATACGGCTTATTTCGGCGACAATGCGCACGGTCAGGCGCTAGCATAAAGACGCATAATGCACCCCGCTAACGTGAAAATTATTCTGTCAAACATTCGGGCGTTGGATTTATACGGGACCAGGCTCTTTCGGAAAGCTCATGCCAATCGCGATCCACTTTGGCAGATGCCGAAAGGATTTCTCGGTCAATGAGATGTATATGCCGATCTGCCCTGTCGCTGATATTATTAGACAAGATTGCTGCACACATGTCACGCGTAATGTTCAGTTCTTAAATAGTCAATTCATATGTATATTTTTTGATAATACTCCTTTAGAGTTCAAAATAACAATAATTTATAGTCATTGCCATCATTAAGATTGAAAGAGACAAAAAGTTGAGATAGGAGAAAGATAAGAATTTTTTTTACTTAAAATTATTAAGGTAAATTAATTCGCGCGTTTTTATAAATATTGTTCACATTTTATTGACAGCGGTAAATTTTTCATCTTCGATCACTATTATACTGTCTTCGTTGTAAAAACTGTCGCGTGACGAAGCGTGCACAATAGCTATATAGTACATAATTCGAGAAGCGAAACGAGACTTGAAGCTACAAAACAGCTCCCACCAGCCGACACGCGGAATATTGTGACGTTTCTTTTCCGAGTGACATTCAATTTCCAGGCTGGTAACGTCTCGTGCCCCCCCCAACCGCACGCACTGTATATACCTACTATAGAAGGGAGAATACGATATGCCTGTGCGCATCCCCAACCACCCCCTTTTCATAGCGTCGATGCAGCTCTTCTAGGCGCAGCCGGGGTGCTCTTTCGTAGTAAATACAAACAAACAACAATTGGCCTCCGTTTCTGCCCACGAGACTGACGGGCAAACAGAAGGTATATCGTATGTAATACAGGGACGATCACAACCGGCAGTTTCAACGTGATCCTTCGGGTATATACTTGGAAATTTGTGTCGAAAAGCCAACCTTTTATTATTTCGAAGATTCAGCATTGGGTATTCCTGTCGTGTCACTTTTCTCAAATAAAATGCAGTTTCATAATAGGACAGATAATTGTTACAACTGATGAATGTTAAATAATATTGAGGTAAAATAAAACTATTTTAGAGAATTTCGATTGTAATAATTCTCAAGTATAAAGTACGATGCATTTTGAAATTCAATTAAGAAAAAATATGTTTTTTACAAAATTCTCAGACTTGCTACACTTTTAATCGTAAAAAATCAATTCTCAATTTTTTTGTCTAGAAGAATATATTTATTGCGTTTTTTATTTATCCTTTTTCTTATATTATTACCATTTTTCTTGTGCCTATTCACAAGAAAAAAATATTAAAGTAAATAAAGGAAAAGCTGACTGTTCCTTTCTCAAGTGCGTTGTATAACCCTACAAGTTTATATATCTAGAATATAATAGACACACACATACACACACATGTCCCTTTGAAAAGGATATATACATACACATATAATACATACGTATAAACATTAAAGATCTGTCGGGAGGTTAAATATTAATTTTTTACAATATTATTAAACAAAATAATTTCGAACTTTTCAATTCTACGTCTTCTGTGATTTGTGTTTATCACTACATAAATTCAAAATTTATCGAATTTTAATTAAAATGCAATCTTTAATTTATTATATAATTTATTCAAATTAAGTTCACGCATTACTCTTTTAATCTTTTATCACAATTAGCTTCACACTTTTAAAAGCAGCATATTCTAGAAAATCAAGTCTATGTACTCTCATACATTGAACAAAAAATTAAGGTTTAAAATTCCTGTTGAACTCAATTTTATTACATCGAACAAAAAAATGAAGGTTCGAAATTCCTATTTAACTCGTATTTATATAGGATAATTGTGAAAGTGACAAATTCTTTTTAATGGGCCAGACAGGTCATTTAAAAATTGGAAAGTTTTCCTTAAGATCATAAACTCATTCATCGTTGTCATAAAATATAACAAAAGAAAATATTGTTCATTCTTAGAATACGTGTTTAGTTTTTGGTCTTACCTACATATATTTGATTGAGTTAGTTCTTATGTTACAAAGTAAAAGTAAGATAAAAGAAGTAAAAATAAATAAGTCTGGCACGTCGACTGTCTTTTCACAGATAATAAAAAGTTGAATTTTCGACAGGTATAAATACAGCATAAATACCAACTATGTATGGAATTGTATTTTTGAATAAAAGTACTAACATAAACTCAATAATGAATTAAGACAAAAATGATGATTTTATGTCTAACCCAAGTTTAAAAAATGACTTGCCATATTTGAAAGATTTAATTTCTACATTAATATAAAATAATATCTAAAATTTTTTCAGGTAGAATGCATATATAAGCACACCAGATCGAAGACATATATGCGATTTCAAATAATTCAACGTTTGAACTTTTCCATTACATATTTTCATTTATCTGCCATTCTACTATTTTATAATTAGCCGGTTGAGGAGCCGCGGGAAACGTAATATCGGACGAATTGAGAGTGAGTTCGCCCGTTTCTCTAATATATCGCGCGCAAATATACATATGTGATATTCCGTCGACGTAGCGCTATACATTCGACGAAACAGAAGAGATACATGGTATTTCAGTAGCGAGGTAGATCGTGCAAAGAAAGTTACGATATACATCGCTTGATTCCGGACCGTCGCATCGCGCAGAAAGGGTTACGTTTATTCTCGTGTAAAACGTTCCTGTAGATTGTCTCGAAAATACGATATACTTTTCCGAATATAAACGTTAAAAACGAGCTAAGAAGAATAATTCCATGTTGGCGCGTCGGCTATCTTTTCACAGATAATAAAAAATTGAATTTTCGAGAGGGGAGTATAAAAATAAAACATAAAATATTATATATTAAAATATTGATAATTAATATTAATAGTATTGTCATGACCTCAATTTTGAATAAGTTTCACTTTAACAGAGGAGCAATCGATAAGCCAGTATTTTCATAGTCTATTCTTTTATATTTACAGTCTTTAATATAGTCTTAAGACATGATAATCTATCACTGAGCTGTGTATTACAGCTTCAAACTTGAGATGATCTTGAAATAAGAACGAACTAGGACCCCACAAATGTCTTAAAATGTCCATTAAACTTATTAATTGTGAACTAGCAATTGCAAAAAGAGATTGACGCATCACTATTGTGTTTATTTCTTACTTATCAAATAATTTACACGCCGAGAAATAAGAAAAAATTTTGCAGTGTACCTATCACATTATTAGGAAAGACAGATACTGTTAGTGTTACAAACATATTTTTTGAAAGT